CCAAAAAAAAAAAAAAAACATCTATTTTCTGAAATTAGACAGAATTCCCATCTCACTATTCAAAAGAATGACCGCATCATAGCCTCTGAAAAATGGGGCATTCGAAGCATCACTCTCATTCTATAATCTGCAACGCGATTGAAAAATCTACTTGGCTAAATGTTCTAGCCAATGGCAGCTGCATGAACATTTGACTGAAACGACTAATACTCATATAAGATTGAAGTTATTTCCTAGGATATTCAATTGTGGTGAGTGATAGAATATGGTGGTGCTGTTGAAACACTTACTAGCAAGGCCACTTTTGTGTCTGTTGAATATGAAATGCAGATATACAGTATATTCTGTTGACTACTTTGCTGCATTTTCTAACTTTTCCCAAATTTCTTTTCTTCTTATGTCTTCTATGCGTTCCACGGCTTCTTGGATTTCAAGTTGTAAAAGGCACTTGGAATACAGAAATGGTGCTAGAGCTTCTAGCATTCCCTTCACATTTTCTGTCAATTGTCGAACATTTTTGCTCCAATGCCCCTCCAGATTTTTCTCCATCCCTTCAACTAGAACTGGAAAAACCTCTTCCATTGCTTGTGATGCCATCTTCCAGAATTGCTCATTGTTCCACACGTACAATGCACGTTCTGCAACCTAAAATCAAAACCATTAGTAATCTCCAAAATCATCTCTTACATAAGGTGTGTTTAGTACGAGTGAAACACTTTCTAGAGAGTCAGTTTGTGGTGTTTGGTTTAGAGAAAATGTTTTCCTTTGAAAAACATCTATCATAAAATGGAGAATATGAATTCCCTCACTTATGGGAGGAAGTTATATTTCTTACAAAAGTCTTACCTTTTAACTACCACTTAGACATTATTATTATTAATCTTTAATACTCAAATGTTTTATCAAAACACACTCTGGTTTACTAATAAAATTGTTGATCCTTAATATATATGTATTTTTCTCATGGTATTTTCATTCACCAATAGAACACCGGTAACAATTTTTCATGGGCAACATTTTGCAGTAAAACATTTTCCATGGAAATATGACTTTTGGCGTACCAAACACACTAATAGTCGTTATCCAAATAGTCTTTTACCTGTGAGTTCCAACTTTTTAAACACTTGGTAATTTTGGTGCACAAAGGCAATGCTAGTTCTTTGTACAGTTGAGGATCTAGAGTTTCCACAAGTTCTTCCAATTCACCAATAAGCAGAACTTCCTTCTGGTAATTTGTTATTGGCCAGTATCTCAAAATACCTCTAATAACAACCTCACCAAGCCCTGGCTCTTTCTGCACAAACTGAGTTACACAATAGGTCAATTGCCTGTGGTAAACTTGCATCCCTTTTGGCTTATGCAAAGGGACAAGAACTCTCACTAAGAAAAGTTTGTGGTCTTCTTTCAAAGGAACACTAAAGCCATTGATAATTGTGCCCCATATCTCAAGAAGTTCTCCTATTCCAGGGTGCCTTTGATCAGTCTCAAAAACATAGTGCAAAAATACATCATTCATTTCCTTTCTCATGAATGTTCTATAGAATGTTAATTTTGAATAAATTCTGTGGAAGACATTCTTCAAGCTATCACGTTCCCTTTGGTCTTCAGATTGGAACAATGTGAGGAGATTAAGAAGGAAAGAATGGTCTATATAAATTCGGAGCGATTCAACACTTGTTCTAGTGACAATCCTGAGGAAAATGTCATAGACAATTTGCAAATGTGGCCAAGATGGTGTAGGATTACTGACAAGATCATCGTCTTCGGGTAATATTGAGGCAACAGAGTAAATTGGTGGAGGGAGTGGCCTAAAAAGATTAGTGGACAACATTTTGAAAAGGGGTGAAAGTACTTGATCATCAAGTGATTTTATGAGAGTCTTGATTATTGATAGGATTTGAATGAGTTTTAGCCTCTTTAAATCTTGTTGTGAAGGGGATTCTTGTGGATCAGTGAAAGTGTAGGTGAAAGAACAGTAAGAAATAAGAGAGAGCAATTCCTCTGTTTCAGAATCAAGAAAATTTGACATGTTCCTAGAATCTAAAAGGAGTTGTTTTAGAGTTGTGGGTGTTTTTCTTGGAGAGTTTTTTGGGCTGTATGTTTTTCTTGGAGAAGCTTTTAGAGAGTTTTTTGGGCTGATTCCATTAAATCCATCCATTTTCCTTTTGCTTCTTACGAGTCGTCTGACAAAAAAGATTTTCTGAATCGATAAAAGAACTTGAACTCGTCGACCACTTTCTTAAAGATTGAGATGAGTCGATATTGATCCTCACTTCAAAAGGTGAGAGTGAATGGTTAATGGTTTATTTAAAGAAAAGATTAGTATAAGTCTTTCTCGTAGAGTAGTGTAATAAGGAACAAGAAATACGATATTTAAGAGGAAGGATTCTTGGAAATGTCCGATGATTTAGAGGTTTTTAAAGTAAAGACAGATAGGTGAAAGATAAGGTAAACTTTGTTTCTGGAATATTAATGGCCAGCTCTTCTATGCTCCTGGTTAATTTTTTTTTTAGAGATATTGATGCTTCATTACTTAGTCATCAAAGCAAAGCTCTTGGCTAATTTTCTATTACTTCAATTTTTTTATTTTTATTTTTATTTTTTATAAAATATAGTAGGTGGTACCAAAAAAGATTTTTATTCGGTTCAACAAAACAAACAACAAATATCATCCGAATATATGCACATAGTTGGATATTCCTGCCTCCATTACTTTTCATATGTGAAATGAAATAATGCATGTAACATTTGACGATTGTGTAACGTTAGACTTGTAAAATTGAAAAAAATATATGCAGGTAATTTACATGAATTTGTTCAAAATTACATTCTTCTGTTATATTCCTTACATTAAGATACACTCTTATATAGAATCATAGTAAGTAGTAAGAGACTGTCAAGGCATTCAATAAAGTTCTTATATGCCCACTAGGGGTGTACAAAGTAAACCGACAAACCGTACCAACCCGATAATCCGAGTTAAACCGAAAAAAAAAATCGACTATGGTTTGGTGTTGGAGAAAACCCCCGACCATAATTGATTTGGTTTGGTTTTAACTAAAGAAAGTCAAACCGAAACCAAACCAACCCGACATTACACATATAGAAAATCTAGATATATTTAATATATAAATATGCTTATTGTGATATAATTTATAAACATTTCTTAAAATTTTTCATAATTTTATCTTTTAAGGAATTATTTCAAGGTTGGACTTAAAACTTTTGAATGTTCCAATAAGTTTTATAGTCATTAATATTAATAAATTAAATAATAAGAGAAAATCTCACTTTATACCTATTAATTCCAAACTATTTAGAGAAAATCTCACTTTATAAATAATGCTAACAAAAGCACAAACCAAAATCAAATCAATACTAATGCTAACAAAAGACATTCAATTCTAATACTACGAACGAGAATATATTGAATATCTATTTTTTGTTTGCATTAATTTAGATAAAAATGCATAACCTATTTTTATTTTTTCTTTAGCGTTTAGTCATGTAATTAATATTCCCTTATGAGTCTACTTATTTTTAGCATGACTTAGTACTTTTATATTATGCTTATTTTTATTATGGCTTTTTAATTAGCAATATTCATATTACATAATTTTATTGTTTTTATTGTAGAATATTTGAGGATAATATCATGACACATCTCATATTTCGTATTATTTTCTTGAAAAATATTTTATATAGTTGTATCTTACTAGGATTAAAGAAATATTTTGAGCATAATTTATATGTTTTGTTTTACGAAGATTTTACCGGGAAAAAAAACCTGAATAACCCGAAAACCTGAGAAAAACCGAGAGTGAAAAACCCGAATTTTATTAGTTTGGTTTGGTAATTGTAAAATCCGAACCAACCAGACTTATGTACACCCCTAATACGCACTCATGCAATAAGAAGAATATTGTTTATCACTATGGTAAACTAATATAATTTGATGTAAATACGGGGTATCACTAAATTTATTTCGGGAGATATATACTATGCATGATTATATTCAGTCGAAGCCACTTATGTTTCTTCATCGATAAATTATATTGTATAGTTAGGTAATTTTTATATACATATGTACATATATACTATATTATTAAAGTCCTTAACTTTTTGTTTGTATTTTTCTTTAAATATTGACACCTAATTAAACTGACTCCACCACAATTCATATTCTTGTTTTTATTTAAAGAGTGAGTCGTTAGCATCTTTCTCGTTCTTAAGGACTTTCTGGCCGGTAGGCTTTATAGCGGACCTGCCTTGCTGACAGCTAGGATATTACATATATAGTTGCGCTTGCCTTCACTTAGAAACTCTACGCCCCTATTGGAGTAAAGCATGCTTTCGAAACTAGATTCACTCGTTCTTGTCTCCAACGATTAACCTATTACAGAGCAGTCTGGTGATTAGCCTATCCCGCACTACTCGAAGCCTTCGTAAACTCATTGTTAGTTTCTATCGTAGTGGAGGTTGTTGTGAGGAGATCAGGTTTGCATTGTTGAAAGCAGACAAATCATAGCACAATGATAGTGATTCAAACACTTGAATACAAACCAATTAAGCAGAGTGAGTTGCACACTCAATGTTTACAATTGTCACGGGCTCAACATACTAAGATATCCCACAACCAACAAAAAAGAAAATATACAGCAAATTCAATGCTTCTAACATCAAGAAAACAGAAGGCTCTTTTTTTTCTCTTTTTTGTGATTTCCCACTGGTTGTCCGGTACCCGCCTAGGGGCCCGACTTACCCGAGTATGCGCCGGGAAATATCATTCACCACTTTAGGCCTCACCAACCAGATGACCACTTGACTGCAGATCTACAAGATCAGAGCTAACAGAGAAACTTAACCATTTCTTTTTGTCACAATAAACTAGGCAAGGCTGCAAAATAATCCCAACAAGAATAACCAAGAAACTGACAATCATGACCTTAAATGTACATAGTGCCATAACCACAAGAATAAATAAGGTTGGTGGCACACACATTAAAATTGAACCAACTGTGCTTAAGGGAATCCTATAAGGTCTTGATGCTGCTGGATATTTTATCCTTAACTTCACAAAAGCTATAAATTCCACAATCATTCCACAACAATACAGAAAGTTGGCTGCAGCCACAATCTCTTGAAAACTAAGCCAGGACAGAAGTACAACACCTGATGCAGAAAACAAGATTCCAATAAGAGGAGTTCCATAACGCGATCTCTTAGCGAAAAAATCAGGTAGCATCCCTCGTTCTGCCATTCCCAAAAGCTGAAAAGAATCACCACTCATTTCAGCCAAAAACATTCCCATATTTGACACAGCCGACGCCCCTTGAACCCATAATCTTAACCAAACTCCTCCAATGATCTTAGCAATATCCGAGAAATAACCATCACTCCAAAGATCGCGATGTAATGGAACAGCTCCGGTGCCAAATAAAAGAGGAAAAAAATAGCCAGAGACAACTAAGGGAAGTGCATAGAATATAGCCTTGGGAAGTGTTTTCCCAGGATTCTCTACTTCTCCTGACATACAACTAACTGCATCCCAATAGTTCAAATTCCAGAAAAGTGTATTTAGATACAATCCCCATTGTACATTTTCCAAGTCTACGACGAACCATCTTGAAGGCTCTAATTTTGGAAGCGCGATAAGTCCCATAATTCCAAAAGGAAGGAGAGTAAATATTCCTAATATTGTAGCAACCCAACCAACTAAAGTTAAACCTCTGTAATTCAAATAAGTGAGTGCTATAATTATAGCTAAGATCGCGATCGTTCTTGGAACACCATTTGCCAATGCTGGAACAGCAGATTTAATGTAGTCTAGAAACAAAATTGGGTACAATGCATTATCAACTACACCACTCATCCATTTCACCCATCCTAATTGAAATCCCCAATAAGGACCTAAAGTCGTCGAAACCCAAACAACATAACCTCCATTTTCAGGAAACATTGTGCTCAATTCTGCAGTTATTAAGGATTCTGGGATACTCCATATAAAAGGAAAGATTAGAAAACCGAGTAGTGCTAAAAGAGGACCGGCTGCACGGACAGTGTCTTCAACGCCAAAAGGTCCCCCGGAGACTCCATAGAATATAAGGAATGTTAGAGGGATAAATGAAACCTTAGTGTAGTTCTTCACATTTGGAGAACCTCCCTCGTGTAAACTCGAATATTCAGTGTTGTTATCTTCAACTCCCATTTGTCCAGATTTTAGCTTAGCTGTTGGAACTTATTGTTTTCTGTATATATGCAGTATCATATTATGAGTGCCTCAGTAATCTATGGGGGGGNCTAAGTTGTTCAAATTTCCATCAAACTAGTGGCATGTTTCTCCTTATCCCTCATTTTTTTTGGGAGAAATTCAAAAATAGCCAAATTTAAAAGTGGTCGTTCAAAAATAGCCTAGTTTCAAAAGTAATCGAAATTTAGCCACTTTTCATGTAAAGATAAATCTGAACGAAAACACTGTTCAAAATTCGGAAAAATACTCCAGCATAATATACTGGAGTTCTAGTATATTATACTGGAACTCCAGTCTAATATACTGAAGTTCCAGTATAATATACCGGTCCAGCATAATATACTGGAGTTTGGAGCACTGGTGCTCCAATCACCAGTATATTATACTTGAGCTAGCAAAGTATACCGGTCCAGCATAATATGCTGGAAGTTCATACACAGGTGCACCGAATTCCAATATATTATGCTGGACCGGTCTCTGTTGCACCAAAATAGTGGCTATTTTTCATTGACTTGGTAAACGCTGGCTATTTTTGAATGACCAGTCCGAAAACTGGCTAGACCGTGCTATTTTTACCATTTTTTTGATAGAAAGAGAAACCGGATGGGCCTTCAAGCTAAAAGACTATCACACTTATCCCTCATTTTCTCCCACAATCCTTTCTTATAGAAATTCAGATTCAAGTTTTAAATTTTATCATAGCTCATTTGATTTATTGAGTTCGAATTTTATTATTTAAACTTATTAAGTGGATTTTTTTAACATATATATAGAAACTAAGCTAAAGCTAGGATGCGGATAAATCCATAACTTTTACACCTCTCATTGGTGTTTTCCCTTCTTCGTATACACGCTATGAGGATACTACCTAAGCTTATTGTACTTTCCATTCTATGTCTAATCAAGCCAGTATGAATTAAATCACACAAAAAATTAAATTACACATAGAATTAAAAATCTATGATGCTAATTAGTACTATAATTTAGCAAGTTATAGCTTATTATATTGCAAAGTTATCAATCACTACTTATTACAGCGCGGAATAATGTATGAAGCTATAAACCAGAAAGCTAAAATGCATGCTCGTAATTTATATATATATATATATAATAAATATATTACCAACTTACCATAAAAATAATAAATTTCACTAGAGCAAAGAGGAATTGAAAGAGTAGATGAGAAGAATTGAAGTAAAAGATGAAAACTTAATTTACCTCCAAATCCACACACAAGGAGAACAAAATCAACAGTTCATAAATAATGTGAAAAAGAAGAATGACAATAGGAAGAATATATCATGTGAAGCACGAAGGGGTCGAGAAGAATAGAGGGCTGTGATTACGAGTCATGCCACGTGTCAGTTATCGGCAGGGGCGTGAATCTGTCGCCGTCCCAGAATCCCAATATGTAATATGGAGAATCAATGAACACGTGTTGAAATTTGATGAAGAACGTGCTTGATAAATTATTGAGGGTGGGGCTCCGATGGTTCAGTCAGTGGCTTCGAATTCAGTATATGTAGTAGTAATCGAATTCAGTAACGTGCGAATTTCCGGGAACCCAGTAGCTTTTGCACTGTCCTTGTATATGTATTAAAAAATTTATTAAATATTTATAAATATTTGATTGCGAACCCAATTAATAACTTGAGATCTCTATAGGAACCCATAAACTTTAAAGTCTGGATCCGCCTTTGCATTCGGACCACACAAATGTAGATGCATGGAATTGCAGAAATAGAGTAAAATGTGCTAAAGAAATTACCAATTATGCTAAATAATTTAAGGAATTTTTACGCAAATAACCAGTCATATTCATTGTTTACTTTATCTTGCCATAAACATAGATTACACATTGATTATACATAATTATACATATATAATACATAAATTATACATATATTATACTCACACCGATTATTTATAGTTTAAGCGGTTAGGTGAATGCGTAAAGATACTTTTGAGTAGTAACTTTACGTAACCTTTACGAGAGTTCTCATTAACAAAGTACTTAAACAGCAAAAGAGTTGTACGCTTGGCAAGAGTTGTTGGGCCTGATATAAATCCTACACAAATCATTTGGATCACACTGTATACCTGACCAGTGGATCGTCAAATGAGCTTTCAATGTCGAAACCTATTGTGGAAATAGCCAATTGTTGGACAGTGTCTTTGAAAATAGTATTGAGAAACTTTCAGAAACCATTACTATGTTTTAGTGGTTATTAGCTAGTTGTAGCTATCATTTACTATATTACTTTCTATAGCTATATTTTTAGGTATTTTAGACTGTATTCGATGTATTTAAGCTACTGTATTCATGAATACAGTAGCATTTCTAGACGTGAAACATGGGATTACAGCTAGACAGATAATTGTATTCGACTGTATTTACAACGTCTAGACATATTATTGTATTCGACTGTATTCACGATATGTACTTGTGAATACAGTAACGTAAATAGCGCAATTCATGATCTATTCAGTTGTTTTTAAACGGAAAGTGAATCAATTAACATAATAGACTCCTAATAAAACTCAAAAAACTCAATTATAACACACAAAATTTGTATTTTCAGTTATAAAAAAGATTCTCAACCGAAAAACACCACAAAAATATAGCAATCTTCAGAGAAAATATGCTGAATATTTTTCCCAACCGATAAATCCAACAAAAAAGAGCAATTTGAATATATATATATATATATACACACACACACATCTGAATACATAAATTATATTAATTAAAAAAATATATGAATACATTTATGAAATACAACGAGACAACGAATATAATGAAATACATAGAATACAACGAGATACATTAAAATACAATAAAAAAAAAACAATGAATACAATGAAATATATGGAAATACGGCAAGATACATTGAACTACATTGAAAATATATTAACAAAATCTTCAAGTTGCTCGGCCCCAAACTAAAAAAGGAACCCCATGTTCCATCATATTCCATCAGTAGCCACCAAGCCATTCATTTCTTCCAATTTTCATGGTAATATAGTATAAAATCAAATTAAAATAAGAAGGCTTAGGCAGAAGTAATTGGTCAGTTCCATCACTCCGTCCCATAGGTTTGATTGTATTTGTACGGAGGACACCATAGCTTCCATTGCGATTAATTTAGGGTTTAAGCTTTAGATATGAAGATTTTCTTCTCTCATGAATAGTACTAGAGCTGCTCTAAATTTGGACCACCGGGAAAAGAAGTGTTGGCTCTTTTGTTCTGTATAGGGGAGACTTGGTAATATAAATTCCAAATTGAGAGTCAAAGCTGCCCGTTTCGATCCGTATTTGGGAGAATCGTAGTTGTATTCATAGAGAAAGACTGAAGTTGAGAGAGAGAGAGGGGAGAAAAATTTGAAAGAAAGAGAGAAAAAAATAATACAAGGTGTATTTTATGGCTTAAGAGTAGGAGGTGACCATAAATAGATATTTGGCTATAAAAATCAAAAGGTAGCTTTGGAATATAATTTTTTAAAAGGGTATTTATTTAAAATAAATAAGGTATCAACCTTTGCTATAGGAGGTAAAAATTCCAATAGAAGAGAATAGTATTCCTTCCGCTTCAATTTAAATGACACACTTTCTAAATTCGTCCGTTTCGAAAAGAATGATATATTTTTATATTTAAAAATAATTTAACTTTAAAATTTTTATTTTACCCACTTTACCTTTAATGAGAAGCATTTATAGCCACATAGTATTATGACTCCACAAAACTTTTGTCCCTTAAGCTTTTAGGACCACATGTTTCAAAAGTTTTCTTCTTTTTTAATAAACTTTGTGCCAAGTAAAAGTATATCATTGTATAGGAAAAATCTATTCATATTAAAAATACTCGCATCATAGAGCGACACATGGAACCGGAGACAAATGAAAAGCGAGACAGGTGAGAATCAAGACCGGAGGCAGCAACCTCCGTTGGCACCGGGAAACCCTCAAAAGGAATGCTCCTCATTAAGACAAATGAATACTTGCAACCCGATAACATTCAATGAACAATATTCTGCAATATTAAATATATAGCCCGTAATAGAGAATATGACATTCATAGCCTTTCGTTACACAATGGCCCTCGTAATTGTCATTAAAGAGGGGCTTGATCCTAGGATCTTGTTCCTTAGGTGCAATTATAAATAGCGAGTTTAGCAGCCATTGCAGTAGGACGAATTTTCTGACAAACTTATGCTATATACTATTTAATAGATCAGTAGCATTTTATTTCTTGCTTATTAATATTGTTATTGCTGCCTTCGGAAGCTCAGATCCTAAAATCAAGCTATATGTTGTCTTATCTCGATTTCAACGCTAAGTCTTGTATTTTTACTTAATTTATTTATCATTTTGGGATCAAATCGGTTCGCTTGTTTATAAATGGCATATAAATTCAAATGTACTGTTTTACGGGTAAAATATTTAATATAACAAATGAGATATTCTAGTAATATTACGATTCTTATGTGACAATTTAATAAAAGGTATAAATATTATCCTGACCAAACTAGTAGTGAAGAGAAATTGCACCGACTAAATCGATTAAAGAAGTTTAATTGTTGTTATGCAAATCAGTTCTCAAAAATTTATTTAGTATATTCTTAAAATACCCAATTGAATTGAGTCCTTGACACAGCTACAACTCAGCTCATTTATCTGTTTTCCTAATCCGTAACTTTTTAAAATAAGTAGATAAATTATTAACTTAATCAAATTACTTATTACAAGAAAAGAGATCTAAATTTGTCAACTAATTTAGCAAGATCCTCCTGACAGAGAGTTGACGTGGCATAATTGCCCAGAAAAGACAAGAGTTTACTCCATTGGTTACGGCGTGCTCTCACTCGCCACTTGTCCTCTTTAAACCCTTTTCACATTAGCGCGTGGACCCTACGTCCTTCCTCACAGTCACACCTAAAACACTATGCTACGTCACTTCCCTTAATCCTCTTCTCATTATTTTTATTAAATAGGATAAAATTTGCATTTTGTATTATGATGAATTTGATTTCTATTTAATTTTTGGTCTAATATTATTATGTCATTAGAATTTTTTTATTTTGATCTTGGCCCGTATCGAGCTTAAATCTATGATTAATTTTGAATCAGAATACAAAATTGAGATTGTTTAAAAAATTTAGTACACGAAGTCTATTTTTCCACGTTAGTATCCGTTAATGAAAATGACAAATACGAGACAATTTACTAATGCGATGGTATTTAGAACCTTCTCCCTCTTTTTTTATTTTATAAAGCTGCTCTTCACATTGGAAAAAAATTCTCTCTTCTACCCAAATTAATACAAGCAATGGACACAAATCTCCTTAGATATCACTAAATTCTTTCCATATTAAAATTGTAATTTGTATGGAAATCATAATCTCTTGCTAATATGGAAAGTACTTTAATTAAGTACATGTATGATCCTCCTCTTATGCACAGAGGCATTCTCCAGTTCCTTTTTTCCGACATAGAGATGGTTACTATCGAGTCCTTAACATACACGAGCCTTAAGGACCTGTTGCCGGCGTCGCCGCCGGCGATTATGTCGCCGACGAATGGACGGAAAGACAGCTGGCGAGAGATTCCGATGAAGGATCCGCTGTTACAGCACGCGGCGTGGGCGTACCTTCAGCCAATGGCGATACCGGAGGCTGATCGGATCAGTTTCTCTGAGAAGGTGAAGGAGAAATGCTTTGGGCTGTTTAATTGCTTCAATGATGTTGTTTACGTCATGTTTAGGTGTTTGTTTTCGACGGCGCCGGAAGTGGAGAATCAAAATGGAGAAGATACAATCGACTGATAATGAGTGGCGGCAGTAGAATTTTCGCCAACAGATATTGATTTAGCAAAAGATGCATTTTTTGTGTGACTGGTTGATAGGTGCTCATTTCTCCTGTACATACGTTCTTCTTCTTTAAACATTTTTTTTTGGAACTTCATAGCATTGTTTTTAATTTACAAGTGTTAACATTTCTTGGGCAACTTGAATGATAATAGATATAGATGATTTATATAGTCGATTTAAATAGCTTGGAATTGAAGCGTAATTAATTGATTGATGAATGATGATATCTAAGTAGATTCATTTAATATTACATCTCTCGATGATAGTAATATTATTATGTCAGAAGTCAAATAAAAATATCTTCGACTATGATTTTGTCAAATATTTATGAAGTATTTTAAAAA